GGGGGGGGTATTTTCCTTTTTTGGGGGGCGGGGGGATAATTTTTTAAAAGTTTTGTTGTAAATGGGTACAGTTCGTTTTGTCTTTAGACTTTCAGTTTTTTAAAGATCTAGTTACTTAGTAAACATATATCAATTTTCCTTCGTTTTGCAGCATTAGAATATTAAAAACAACTTCTTTACTTTTTGTTAATGTACATTGCACAATACGATTTCCTTGAGTTCAGGAATAATTTCGTAATCGAGACATTCCAATTGTGTTTTCAATTATCCGTGAGCTGGGATCAACTATAAAATATAACCTAACAGTATTGAAAGGGGCGCTGAACCTATAGAGTGAAAGAAACAATAATAAGCTTTAATAGTATATATCATTTTATGTGTCTTATGCTATAAAATGGCAGCTATATCCACGCTCTACTGTAAGCTATGCGTTTCACAACTTTATGGGTGGTTGGCTGATGCTGTGCTGTGGTGTGCTGTGCTGCTTCTCTCCTATCAGACAGCTATCGCCCTCATCGCTCTGTCTTTTGTGCGTCTTGTATCACCTGTAATACTCAACATGTATATGACCTCATAATGTTGCAAGTGCCGTAAAACACTTACTAAAACATCTAAAACATCAGCTATAGTTTTCTTTCATCCAAACCAGGGGTCTCAAACTCTGGGCCCGAGGGCTAATTGAGGCCCGAAGGATGATACTTATTTGGAAGGCCTATTTTTACATCAACGGATTGTGTTAATGCGGCCTTTAACTTCCAGCTTGTCTCACACGCACTGTGTTGTTTGAGCTTGAGTAAAGAGGAGCACATGGACACAATGAAACAGTCATTATATTTATTTTGATTCAAGATTCAAGACAGATAAAAGGAAACAATAGAGGGAAAGAGGAGAAGTAGGACCTTCTATTAATAGCACCGTTTCGCCGAAAAACCTATGTTATGGGAAAAAACAACCGAACAACATAAACATTCTGAAAAACTATTAATAGAAATTGAGAAGATTTGATCACATCACTGTGCTTTAAAAGCGCGCTCATAATAATATGGTCTTTATGCAGTTGCGAGCGTCGTAAGACCCTTAATAAACTAAACTTAAGTACACAGATTTCTGTTGTTAAATCCCTATTAAATCTTTGTGGAATACTCGATGCGGCCCAAGCTCCCCTAGATTCTACATCCAGCGGCCAACGGATAATTTGAGTCTGAGACTTCTGATCTAAACAGTCTGTGCCTCTGATAAATGCATGTATCGTTTGACAGACGCAATAATTGTGAATAGTATCATTTACCTGTGTTTTGACACTCTAATCTGACTTTAGAATGCCTTGTTTTGAGATATAACTACTCTCTACCCATCTCTCACTTTTCTTAATTATATTTTCTGTTTTCTTATGAATAAACGAGAATGAAAACATACTTTTGCATTGTCTTGTTTTTGTTTTGTTGTTGCTTTTTATTTTGTTTTTTGTTTGTTTTGTTAATGGTTTGTTTGTTTGTTGTTGTCGATTTTGTGTTTTTGCTTGATTGTTGTTGTTGTCGTTTTGTATGTGTGTGTGTGTGTGTGTTTGTGTGTGTGTGTGTGTGTGTGTGTGTGTGTGTGTGTGTGTGT